TAAAAGTGTTGTTTTCTTACTTCATGTCAGCTCAATGTAAGTTGTTTTGTGAATTGCTGCAGCTGTAATTTTCCTTCAGGATCAATAAAGTCCTGCATCTATTCTTGTTTATTTTAAAGCTCAACTTAAAGACAACACAGAAGAGAGAGAGAAAAAAAGAGCTATGTAAGCGCCATCTGCCAACTAACACCGTGAAATAAAACATTCTATTACAAGTACACACACGACCTGCACTAAAAAAAAAAAAAATCCTACTAAAGTAAATGTACATATAAAGTATTAAACAGTAATGGTGTGGTCACTCTGGTTGCTTATTTAACCTTTATATTATTATCACTGTGTCTGCAGCATGTTACTGTTGCAGGTGGAGCAAGTTTGAACTACTTTATATCCAGTTTTATATCAAACATCGACCTCCAAGCAAACACTGAAGAGTCAAAAACAGCAGTTCCTCAAACGGACACTTGAGATTATCTCCTAAAACAAACCAGTTCCCACAGACCCCTGATGTTAAAATGTCCAACTACAGCAGAGTTCCTTGTTTATTGGCTGTTGGTGCTTTTATGATTTTATCTGGTGTTGCATTGATTCATTTTGTTTTTCTTGTACCATGTGAAACTATTTCGCCACTTTTCCATTCTGTTTGATCTGAGTGGCCTTCTATGGTTGAATGGTTTTTATTTTTTTTTACTGTCTCTGAAGCACTTTGTAAACTTTTTTTTTTTTAAGTGCTATATAAGTAAAGTTATTGTCATTAATATTGAAGTTGTGCATAATTAAGGGCATGGCAGCTCTAAGTAGGAGGTTGGTACCATCACTGGACAGTCACAGGAAGGTTTGCTCAACCGCCTCAGCTCCACCTACTTGTTGATTTTAGGATTAGTCAGGAATTCAGTGTCAGGAAGTGCCAAAATGGTGACGGCTGGAGCCACCACGCTCACCCTACATCCACATCACGTACGCTTTCAGTCCACACTGCAGCTGCACGTACAAAGTCTACAGTGCATGCAGTGTGCATACATATTACTTCATCATCGTATTGGCCCTTAGTTAGTGACCATGTTGCTCATATGTCCATTGCAATGTGCAGCGTACAATCACCCATTTGTGTGCTCTTGGCGGCCCAAGTGAGACTCGTATCCGTCGCTGTGCAGAGGACCACTGGCCAAAATGGCCACAAAAGCATGCTCGCTCGCAAACTGCCAAATTCAACCAGATGCAGCAGGACTTCCTGGCGTTTTCAGCATTCTGCATTTGACATACTAAACACTTGGGACATCTTTATCTGCCGTATTCAGCCAAGCCTGACACACAATGTCTTTACATACCTAGACAACACAACACCTCACCAGTCCAAACACAGCAAGTTTACGTGTCCCAACATACTTGTTTGATCCTCAGAAACATTCTAAGTTGATGACCGTCAAGCAATGATGGAAAACCAAGATTTTGAGTTTAGGGCAGTGATAAAGTTCCTCACAAAAGGCTGGCTGAGGTATACGCTGATAATAGTCCTGCCTCCAGCGTACAGTCCAGATCTGGACCCCCATCATCATTAACCAATTAGAAATTTGAAACCACATTTGCATGGAACCAGATTTCCTGATGATGATGAGCTGAAGGCTGCCACAGAGGCATGGTTTGAGAACCAACTGAAGATTTCTACTTTAACAGTCTGAAGGAACAGTGGGCTAGGTGCACTGAGGTAAATAGACTAAAAAAACATAATCATACAATGCATGGTCTGCTGCTGCAGTATTTACCTCGTATGAACTCTTTGACCTCCCCTCATGAATCATAGGGTAGTTTGGAAGCTGGAGCCCATTCTGTGTTTTAAATATGAATGACTGGGGTCACTCAGTCCTTCATCACAGTGAAAACAAACCAAAACGCAGGAAATGCAACATGTTTGTGCTCTTAAACTTGTCATCATCGTGCTGAAGCAGTCTACTGCATGTCTCGTAGCAGCCACTGTACCAAAAGCATTTATTGACAGGTTCCTTGAATAAAACTTTACAGTCAATGCTTAGACCTTTGCATTTCTATTTGATGGTTTAATATGACTGCAGCGTTGCCACTTGCTTCCCCACATTCTAGCAAAACCTCTATTCTGAGCCAAGTTTGCAACAGGCCTTACACGTAAACGTCTGTCATCTGTGACATTTAAACCAAACATTTTCTGCTTCTGGACTTGTCAAATGCCAAATTTAGATTTTCAAACACCATTTAAATGTAATTCTATGCAGTTGCAAGTAGGCCGAGTTAGACCTGAAGAAGACCAAGAAGCCCAAACAGTTGAAAACCTGTTGTAAGCTGAGTTTGACCACAGGACACGGTGAGGAATGGTTAAAAGAATCATTTTTTACCACAGTGTCTGATGAGGGTGAGGGAGGATGGAGGGATTCTCTTGGAAGGAGCTCAGTCCAGGTGGGAATCCAGGAGTTAATAGTCCCCAGGAGCCTGAAGCTGAAGTCCATGAGGTAGCAGCACTAGCTTTGGCAATTGAAGCAGAACAGAAGCACCAGTACGTGGAGCAGAGCGAGCTGAAGCAGCAACACCACATAAGCAGACAGAAGACTCTACCAGAAAACTGAAGCAGGTTTATATGCAGCATGCAGGCGGCTGATTGGATGATGACACTCAGGTGTGTCCAAAGAGAAACCGCAGGTCGACCACGCCCAGATTCACAAACACACCCCATACAAGATGAACAGGAAGAGAGAGGAAGAGGAGGGAATCGCTGCCAGGATGGTGGCTAAAAACTGGTTTCATATTTAAACATGTGTTGTTGTTTTTAAAAGCTTGGTCTAAGAACCTTTGTGCAAAATGCTCATATTTAAGAAAATGCTGTCAAATTCATATAGAGGAGCAAAAGTACAATATTTAATATATCAATATAAACTGGGTGTGGGGAGGAAGAATTTTGAACTTGTAATTTCTGTTCAAAGTAAAAACAAACAAACAAGTAAATAGCTGCTATTTATCATCAATATACGTTAGACTGTATTTTGTCACTTGTTTGATGTCAATTCTTTCCAGAAGAAACAAATAAAACAACAATTAAAAAAAGAACAACAAAGACAATACAATTAGAAATAGTTTGCATTTATTATTAACGACTATTTCACTGTCTTTTATCACTTGTTGACGTCATTTCAAGCCAGAAGAAACTTATTGTTCAGATAAAAATTCATTGTTAGTCAAACCTGGTTGTGGGGATAAATCATTTTGGGCCTGACATTTTTAGTAAAAGTAAAAAAGTAATAAGTAAAAACAGCTGATATTTGTCATTAACACGCAACTTTTTACTTGATTTTGTCACTTGCTGATGTCATTTCCACCCAGAAGAAATCACTATAAATCAAAATTGGGCCTGTCATTTTTTACTAAAAACAAAACAAAAAAACTAACAAACAAAAAAATCAACAACAACTACAACAAACAAGAAAACGCATACAAATAGTTGACTTTTTTTTTTTTAAAAATGAACACAGTGTTTTACAGTACATATTTTATCACTTGTTAATATCATTTCCATCCAAAGAGAAACTAATAAAATATCGTTTGATACTAAAACAAAAAATGTAAAACACAGAAAGAGTAGAAGTTTATCATTAACACAGAATGTTTTTACTGTATTTTATCACTTATCGGAGTCATTTCGAGCCAAATGAAAGTTATTATCACATAAAAATTAAATCTCAAAACTGGGTGTGGGGATCAATAATTTTGGGCCTGACATTTTTAGTAAAAAGGAAAAAAAAGAGAGAGAGAGAGATAGAAACAGCTCAATTTTATCACTAATACACAATGTTTACTGTATTTTGTCACTTGTTTACATCATTTCCAGCCAGAAGAAATTTACTGGTCAAATAAAAAATCCCCATAAACAACAACTGGATGTGGGGATGAATAATTTTGGGCCTGACATTTTTAGTAAAAGTAAAACAAACAAACAAAAAACAATAAAAATTTAATAATAATATTAATACAAAACAACAAACAAAAATAAATTAAATTTTGGCTTGTAATTTTTAAAAAAAAAAAAACATAACAACAACAACAAAAAAAAAACAACAACATAGAAATAGTTGAAACATGATGTTGACTGTATTTTGTCACTTGTTTACACCATTTCCAGCCAGAAGAAACTTGTTGATCAAATAAAAAATCCTTATAAATAAAATCTGGGTGTGGGGATGAATAATTTGGGACCTGACATTTTTTGTAAAAATTTAAAAAAAAAAAAAAAAGAAGACAGAAACAGTTTAAATTCGTCCCTAGCACAAAACGTTTAATTGAATCACATGATTCCCAGCAAGAAGAAACTTATTGGTCAAATAAAAAAATCCATATAAATAAAAAATAGTTGTCGTTAAAAAAAAACAAAAAAAAAACTCGAATTTGTCACAAATACACAATGTTGACTGTATTTTGGGACTTGTTTATGTCATTTCCAGCCAGAAGAAACTTACAAGTCAAATTTAAAAAAAAAATAAATAAATCGTGAAAATTAGAAACTACATGTGGGGCCGCCCCATGTACAGGGGCTATAGTCCCTGATGCGGAGGTCATGAGTTCGAATCCCGGTCATGGCCCTTTTCCGCAGGTCCTTCCCCCATTCTTCTCCCCCACTTTCCTGTGTTTCTCTCAACTGAACTCTCACAAAAAGGCCAAAAAATACTTTAAAAAATGGGTGTGTGGATGAATAATTTTGGGCCTGACAGGTGCGTTACAGGTACACATCTGCATTATCCTCTGTGCATTATGCTTTTAATTCAGCCATATATCCCCATTAGATTCTGTGCATTACGCTCTGGTGCAGGCTGGAGCCCAGTTAAAGCCTCTTCTCTGAGCAGAGCAGGTGACTCACCTGTCAGGTATAAAGGTCTCTTTATGTGTCGTCGTGAACTCACTCCTACTTTTCTGTCAACTCTCCTGAAATACGAGCTTCTGGGCGTTTTTTTTGTTGTGCAGCCACTTCACTTCCCTCTTTGCTCCACCGCTGTGTGAGTGTGTCAGCAGCAGCAACAGGCATGTTTTCATCCACAGTCAGCGGCTCCAGCTGACGTGTGCGTGGCTCACAGTTCCTCTCCGGTCATCATGGGTGACTGGGACCCGGCCGGTGGAGCCGCGACTCGCCGGAGAAGAGCGACCCTGACAGCTTCGAGAACCGCCAGTCTGCAGCCGGCGAACGGGAGGTCTCCGGCGGCGTGCGACATCTCAGCGACCGCCGAGAGTAGCGCAAACGATGGGCAGAGACGACGGGAGCGCTCGGTGGAGACGGTCCGGTCCAAAGCGAGGGGCGACAAGAAGAAACAGCGCAGGAACGACCTGGGCGACAGGATGAGGTGAGGCAGCCTGAGTTAGCTAAAGTTAGCTAAAGTTGGCTAAAGTTAGTGAATGTCAAACAGTGGGATGCTAACGGCTAACGTTACTTTAAGCTAGTTCAGTTACTGTACTCAGGGGCAGAAGTAACGTTAGCTTGAGCTAAAGACAGATGGTGAATAAAATCTGTTTATTTAGTCTCTGTTGTCACCCATTCATTCACATTTACACCCTTAACTTAGCATTTAACCAGCGTGGCTACACCAGGAATATGTGCTAAAATGTGAATTATTGGATTACCAGGGGCGCAGCGAAAGGGAGCCCCGTTATCAAAGGAGGGCTTTTCATCTCAAATTATTATAACAACTGCTGCTTCAATTTTCCTGCGAGTTTTAAAGCATAAAATGTGAATATTTCTAAAGATGTCTGTGAAATTTCAGCTTGATATGTCAAATACTTTTTGAGATTAAGTGTATTTAAAAAAAAAATCAACATACTTCCAATGTGTTTTGTTGCACATTGAGGGCAATACCTGAGGAACTGCCCAGGGTAAAAGTCTGACATGTTCACTGTTATTTCAGATCATTTCATTTTCTAATATTCTGCAATGTTGGAGTAGTAGATTGAATAATCTCTGAGTATGGGTGAGTTGAAATATGAATTTGAAAAATTGAAGCTGTCATGAAAAGTGCCATCCTCCAGCTCACATGAACAACAACAGAATTCAGCTGGTGGTATTTTCTGAACAAAATGTAGAAATAATACAAAACAAAACTTTTTTCACCTTAACTTTCACAAATGATTGATCGGATATGACACGTTGCACAAGTAGAAAAGACCTCTGGAGTTTGAAAATGGTTCTTAAAATTTAACTTTTATAAAATGTGTGTTTTGCACCTTGTCCTCTAGCAACACATGTCAGCAGATCAGTGTCTTAACTTGTAGAAAATACAATTGCAAGAAAGAATATGAGGACTGTTTGTGTGTTTGGGAGAGAAATAATGATTTTTCCCTGAGACCTAAGAAGTACTGGCACATTTGTGTCCCTGTTTTCCACAACTAAAGACTCGTTCTCAGTTGTTTTGCTCCAATAATAGCTTTTCTTTAAGCTGCTCAGGTCCGGTCTGTAGAACCTGTTTGGTGTTTACAGCTGTGCCTGTTTGTTGTGGCCAGTAAGGGATGTGAATTAAACCAAAGCTTTTAAAAACAACACCTTTAGTTATATCAGGTCACTTTATTTCCTGTATTCTGATCAGTTTTAATGCCCCAATTTGGGCCTTTTCTCTAATAATTTATGGTAGAAATGTCTTTATTCTTGTAAAGCGAGACACACTTCAGGCATCAGTCGAGAGTTTAGATTACAATGGAATACAATAACTTCAACTTTGAACTCTTTTCTTTCATATTATCCCTGATGAGACAACACACATACAGACCTGATTTACTCACCTGTCCTATTTTATGTCTTTTGTTTGAGGAAATGAAATATTTAAATGTGCATGTGGCACCTTTTCAAGTCAGATTAAAGAATCTTTACTAATGTATAAACCCCCTAGACTTTGATATCCCAAGTTTAAAACGTTCTGCACATTCAGAACATATCCTGTCTTTTCATACGCTGAACAGAGGAGACACAACAGACACGTTTTTCTTCTTTTTCTGATAGTCATCATTTGATTTGCAACCGATGAGCCAAATAAACAAATTAGTGTAACTTAAAACTCACTGTTTCACCCGTTTACTTATCTGCTTTATATCTGTAGCTGTCACAAGACCCAGGAGTCGCTTCTGACTTCAACCAGCGGCTACAATAACTACAGAGGAGTTCTCAACTGGTGTGTGGTGATGCTGGTAAGAAACACACACACACACAGAAACCTGTACACATTAGAAGTAGACTGATATGTTGTTTATTTTTTTTCCCGAAACCTCATCTTGATAGCTTTTTTTTAGTAATCAAAGAAACCAATAATTATATTTGAAACTGATTTACATTTGCACTGAAAATGAAAATGTTTGAGGTACACAAACTCCAACAGAAAGTTTATTGAAATGTTTTTGTTTATTTGTCTTTTAAATGTGTTTAATGAAAAGAGAATTCTTCAAGATTTAGCATTCAGTGTTGTTCTGCTATTACTCTGTCTGGTATGTACCTTGGTTTTGGAGACACGGTTCTTATTTTTTAACAGATTCTGACCATGTCTCTGTTTAAAAACTCTGACGATACAGCTTCAACTGGCAGCACGTACTAAAAAAAACATAACATTTACAAAAGTAGTTCAAAATAAATATTGTTTCAAATATGTTAAAAATAATGAAATACATTTCCATTACATTTCAGCATTTAGAAGATGTTGTGTTTAATGTACTTGTATTCAAAAAGTAGCAAACTTTAGCTGGTGTTTGTTTATTAAAAAAGGGCTTTAACCTCTCAAGACCTGGCGTCTACATCTGTGGACATCTCAGTTTTGCGTATATTGCCACAGTAGTTATGTATTATTATTATTATTGTTATTATTGTTATTATTATAGTTTTATTCATTTTTTTCATTTTATGTTTTTTACTTCTTAAAATATTTTTGTAAATCTATTTTTTATTTTCTTTCTATTTAAATTTTTTATTTCTCTTTGCTATTTGATCAGATCAAACAGCAAAGAGAAATAATAATAATAAAAAAAAAGCATATCAAACAAGAGCTCGGGTCTTAAGAGGTTAAGGGCGGCCATGACTCGCTGACTGAAATGCAGAGATGAAGGATTTTTGTAACGCCGTTTGATTCCTTCCTGCATGTGTTTTAAACTAGTGTTTGAAGTGACATTATCACTGCTTTAAAAGCAGCTGCGGCGTTTGTCACCACTTTTCTGAATTGCTCGCAAGAAGCTGCTTAAAAGGCACGAGAAGCTGGGTTTGCACCACATTTACATCTTTTTTTTACGCTCAACGATGCCGACGTGTAGCTTTCGTCCGATCCACCGGTCTTTGTCCAACACAGTTGGAACTGTAGTGTTCCCAAACAGCAGATCTGAATGATGGTGGACTGTGTTTAAGCTCTGGTTGGTGTGCGTTGGCCATAAGTAACATTTTGCGATGTGTAAGAACAACTTTGCTGAAGTTGCAATGGAGGAATATGGTCGTGTCCAATTGGGTTCTGCACACACACACACACACAAAAAAAAGAAAAGTTGCTGTGGCTGCATTCGTATGGTAAACATGTGCTGAACCGAAACCCCCATGCTGAAAATTTGTGGTGCAGATACATGCACTGTTGCACCGCTGGCTGTCTGTAGGTGGAACATTGCTTGAGGCCACAAAGTGATGACTACAGATGGAGAGAGTGGTGCATTTTATCAGTAATTGGTTAAAAAATAATCAGAAAAACGCTGAAAATGGCATCTGATGTTGGTCCAGGCTGTTACTGGGTGGATCGCTATTCAAAACGAATGCTGGTGTACAGTAAAATAATATATTTGTCGTGTTTGTGTTGAGCTCAGCACCTCTCGCAGCTCTTCCTCGTCTGTGTTTGGGAAGAAGCGGCTGAATGCGAGAGAAGAGGGGAGAGGATGAGGCTTCTGTTAATCCACTCTTTGAACACGAATCGCTGTGTTCATCATAGGAGGTTTTCCTTCATTCTGGCTGAACTTCTGTCCCACTCCCAGGCCCGGAGCCTTTGTGTTCGGTAATGAGATATTACAATCCATTTAGAGAGAGCAAGGGTGAGGAGGAGAGATAAGGAGCACGATGGCGAGAAGAAAAAAAAAAATGGGATGAGGGGAGGAAGAAGACGGGATGCAGGGAGAGGAAGGAGAGAGAGGAGAGACAGAAGGAGAGAGAAAACCAGAGAGGAGGAGAGGAGTGATACGGAAGTTAATTCAATTACAACAGAAGAAATGACAATGACGAAGGAAACCTGAGTAAGAACAGAGGACGAGGGAGTGTTTTTGTGCAACAAATAGACTTTGCATTTACCCTGTGCTTTTTATTACAGGTGCTGAGTAATGCTCGCCTCTTCTTAGAAAACCTCTTAAGGTGAGTGTGTGTTCGAGAAACAACAAAAGCACCAAATCACTCAACTTTCTTTCTGCTCTAACAGAATTGTTTCACTAATGCTTAAATGGTTTTTGTTGCTCTGGTTTGAAAATAGAGCTTTCTCATCCTTTTGATATTTGAGCCAATTTCAGGAGCCATTTAAAGATCTCCTCTGGTGAAAAGTCTATTATTTTATCTTGTCAACACGTCCATTTGGTGTTTTTTTTTATATGCTGGAAGACACATCGTGACTGGAGTAAGCCGTCAAAGCCATGGGAGAACATTTCCTTTTTGTGTTCTTCAGACTCAGTCTCCAGTTGGGTCATGTAGAGCTGAATTATTGCAGTATTACAACTTGCCATCAGGCTGTTTTCCCACTGCATTAGCTGGTGGCCTGTTGCAGGTTTTGGGGTAAAAACAAAAAGACAAAAAAGTCCACATTCCAAGATAAGTGTAGGTTAAACTCAATAAACCAAATGCTTTTATTCCTCTGCTGCATTTACACATTAACCAGAATAATGCTTGTTTATCTGCCGTTTCATGTTGTTTGTTTGTTTATCAGGTACGGTGTTCTGGTGGACCCCGTTCAGGTGGTTTCCTTGTTTCTGAATGATCCCTACAGCTGGCCAGCAGCATGCCTGGTGATTGGTAGGTAACCCTTTTTGGAACAAGTGGGACAGAATACATGACCTAAACATAATGCTAATAATTCTAAGTACCGTAATTTTTCAGACTATTGAGTGAATGTAAGCCACGGCCACCAACTTTAAAAAGAAAAAAAATGTGTACATATATAGGACCTACTTGTCTATAAGCTGCAGGTGTCCACGTTGTAACATGAGATATTTACAAAGAAAGATTTTTTTTAAAACTTTTAATTAAATACGAACCAGTAACATACACTAATACGTAAATGCTTTTTCCTGAACAGTGCCTGTAACACGGCTGGTTAGAAAAATAAAAACTACAGCAGCCTACCAGGAAAAGTCATTGATCGCTATCTTCATCTTCCTCCTGCACTAAAACCACTAAAGTCGTCTTCTTCAGTGTCGGAATTGAACATCCTCAGAATGACTTCGTCACACACTTCCTCCTTTCGTTGTTGCTCTCAATGTCACTTTCGTCTCGAGGCAAATTCGTAAAACTCATAAAAATCCATAATTTAGCCGCTTCGTTGTTTAAGCCGCAGTGTTCAAAGCGTGTGAAATATAGTCCGGAAATTAGTGGACTTAAAAACTAACGTGAAAATCTTGAACTGAGACCAGAAAAACATCCCAACTAGCAGCAGAGGATCGACGGAAGTATGAGCACCAACTACCAATATGTCTCACGATAGAACATTAAACTGGTAATGTCTGTTAATACTGTAAGTTAGGCATTTCAAGTGACATAAGCTTGGATGAAATTGGACAGTACAATAAGCGATGTATAATAATGCCCTAATAAACAGAAGACTAAATGTAAACTAAACATAAACTGTGCCTCTGATCCATCCTGTCTCCATGGCGGGGATCATTTCTAACTTCACATATCAGCAGGTATCTAATAAAGTCAGAGAAAAAACTCCTGGAAGTTACAGTGTTTTATCCAATCCTGAATTGCATTTATTCTTGTTAATCCAACCTACAAACTCTGCAAAGTCTTATTTTTGCAGACATTTCAGTTTGCAATGGATGTGAAACTGTAGAGTGAAGTGAATGAGAAAGGTGTTTTATTGTTTTTGGCTACAAAATGTGTCTTTTGTAAATTTTATGGACCAACATTGGTGCTTAAATGTAAAGAAAACTGTTCCTTGAATCACTTTACGCCACTCAAAATACATGGTTTGTGCATATCTATCTGTTATTGAGATGGTATGCACGCTGACTTCCAGGGTGCTCATTCAGACGTGAAGGTGACACGTGTGATTAACGAAAATGAGTGTCTGAAACCGAGCAGGAACACTTGAGGGACACATGTGGACATTGTATGGAAACACAATCCGTCCAAACATTCAGGTTATGAGGCAAACTAGCTGAGTGTAGCCTGTGTGATCAGCCTCATTTAAAACGGTCCTCGCTTTAAGGCACTCACAGGTGCATGCTGTACTCCAGTTTTTTTTTTTTTTTCAGTATTTATTTTTATGGTATATTGCAGTGGAAGTCTGCAGTGGTGCAGCTTGCAGTGTCTCTAGAGGGACAATCACCTGCCCTATATACTGCACACTAGTACTCTACTGAAGAGAGAAGGGGAGCAACAGAGAGAGGAACAAGAGGGGGGTGTGCAGGGGAAGCGTTTAATGGAAGAGAAAATTAAGTGAGCCAATGTGTAGATAGAGGCTCGGTGAGGAAGGAGGGCTGAAAGGGAGCCGAAGGAAAGTGCTGCATTGACACAGGGCGAGGAAAGGGGGAGGCAGAAATAGATGGAGTTAAGGTAAACGACTGCACAGGCGACGGGTAGGAGACAGGTGAGAATGGGAGTCTGTTTACAGTAGCATGAGCAGTAAAGCGGCTCATTCCCAGAGGGCATTCAGAGAGTCGCCGCGGCAGCAGCTCACACACAAACACCCCCCGACGCTGAATAAATGAGGAGTCGCACGGCCCGCGAGCAAAGTGGGTGAAGTTTGGGAAGGCCGAGCCGAGAAACTTTCACGTTTAGCGAAGTGACCGATGGGTTTTACCGCATCCAGAAGATCTCCCAAAAACAGCGAGCCGATAGATGCTTGAAAGGCTGATGGGCGCGTAAATGGAGTCGTTTGTTCCAGTTTGGTGCAGTTTAGCTGCTGTTTGTCGAAGATGCTCAACAGGCCTTTTTTTTTTACCAGAAGAGATAAAAACGGCTTTAGCAGCAGCTTGGTGTGTGTTTTTTCTGAGGTCTCTACGGTTTGTTGAGTTTCTAAGATTCGTGCTGCTGTCTAGGGCTGCACAGATAATCCATTTTAAACAAACAAACAAAAAAATTGAATGTTTCCATCAGTTATTTAAGAAAGTGAGGATTTAATATATGTAGAGTGAAAAATATCAAACCTTTTTTGTTTTTATTGTGATAGTTTTGGCTAATATATATAAAAAAATTGAATATTTCCTAATATCAGTCAACAAAAAAAAAGGATTTATGACACAGAAACTTTTGAAAAGTCTGTTCATTTATACATTCCACGCTCCTTTACCATTAATTACTGCATCAGTGCTGTGTGGCTTGGAGTTTAAACTGTTGTGTCAGTGGTTTTCACAAGTTTGCTCCATCATCCTTCAATTTTTCAGATGGATATTAAGATTTAATTTTCAACATATTTGTTTTTAAGCCAAGCTGCAGCTCAGTATTCACCGTGGAACATGTGACGCAGCATTATCACATGAAATAGCACGACTGACGGTCGCACAAGGACAACGGCAGACGCAACACTTTAGACAACTGCATGGTTTAAAATTCAGATTTTAGATTGATTTGATTGTTGTTAGTCAGTGACGCTTTTGCTGGTGTTTACTGTAGTAATAACATTACATGTTGTAAACCTATGACACGCTGAATATTGAACTAAAGCTTGTTTTAAATCAAATTACAATAAATGTCAAAAATATTGCCATGAGATATTTTCTCCAAATTGCCCTAATTGTTCTTTGGTCTGGCTGATCTTGTAAAGTAAAATATTCTTAAATAGTTAAAATATGTTCACCATTTGGTTCAATGGAAAACAACCATGCTGTTAAGATCTGTGTGAATATTTTACGTTTCCTCCAGGTTGTGTTGGAACTGAGCGGCAGAATGTTTAGAAATGACACTTCATAATGTTTCTCGATACCATACTTTGCATATTCTCTGAAAACATGGCTTGTCTCTGAGTGAAAAGCCACTTTAGTTAAAATAATTACTGAGAAAATTGCAGATAGTTGTTTTTTCTGGCTCTATGATATTCGCTTTTTTTTTCTGATGTGCATTTAACGGTGAGATAAAATTTGCCTAAATACAGAATCTGATGTAACCATAATGAGCTTTTTAACTGAAGCCTGGTGAAGTGTACTTTAATAACTCGCCAATTGAAATTGTTTTGGCTTGTGCGTGATAAGCTTGCTTTATAGACAGAACTGTGATTATTATCACATGAGAAAGAGCTTTTGCCTGCAGCGCATTTCTTCCATCTTAGCATCTTCATGTCTCCAGCTTGTAAACCACCAAACCAGAAACAAGCACGTGACCGAAACGCTAAACCGATCGATCGAAACCGCACCGATCGAAACGTCTGACGGTTTACTCACCGTTTCGCTCTGGATTAGATGGAGTGACGCGCTGATGGACGATTAGAGGCTTAAAATGGAACAATTGCTGCAGTTATGTGTCACCAGTGTTGCTCAGTCTGGTCTAGTGAGGGTAGTAAAGAATCTACATACCAGTGATGTTTTTAAGTTAATTCAGCATCCTGTTGACTGTCTCTCCTACGGGACGGAAAGAAAAGATGCTCCAACCAGAATATATATTAATATCAATATGATTTTGAAGACTTTAATACGTCCCAAAAGTAGTTCTTGTTTTATATAATCCTGGATTATATTGTCAATATGAAGCAACTTCTGTTTTTATTTCCTTTTCTAAAGATTCATCTGCATTCTATAAAGCTCTGTATTGAATATAAGATGACATTGGTGTTTTGTTTTTTTAACTTCATAACATGATTTAATTTTAAATACTATGAGGAAAAAAAACCATCTTTTTACCCCTCTGAACTCCAAGCAGTTAGTGTTCAGTTTATTCATTTATTTTACAATTGGTGTAATTTTGGTTATTAAAAAAAATAAAACTGGATTTTTTGGGGGTTCAGAGGCTTTAGTGACATCCACATTGCTTAATCGAACTCGTTAGAAGAGAAGCAGTGGGTCTCAAGACAGATAAAAGGACAGGGAAAAACACAAACTGTGATAGAATTTAAATTCCTATGGGATTTGTGTTGTATTGTTGTGAATGTGGGTGTGCAGGCACATGCACACCCACATTCTTGCCCAGTCAGTCATCTGTCTAGCAGTTGGTGTGTGCTGTGAAACACATATGCTCCGTTATTGCTGGCTCATTTCGTTCATCAGATGTTGCTGTTTAATCATGTGAGAGTGTCGGTGTTGCGAGAGAGCAGGATTTAGCTAAAAAAAAAAAAATGCAGGGCCAAAACTGGAAACCAGCAACACACAGGCAACTGTCATTTAAGCTGTGTTGAGTAACATTTATTTGATTTATTTTTATCCACCTTACAGCACCAGCATTGGTCCAGAAGCATCACAGAGAGCAAAATTACAGTTTAATGTTCTTCCATAGCTTCACATCTATTGAAAAACTGAAATTGCAATAAGATTTTAACATAGCTGCGGTTAAGGCAGAGTCTGTAACAGGTCAGATTAATGAGAATCAACATAAATAAATAAATAAATGTAATTTAGGTTGACAAAAAGTTACCAGGAGCTGAAGTTTAGTTTGTTGCTTGCAGCTGTTTAGGAGTCTTTTCTCTGAGTTTATTAAATACATGCAGCATCAGGATCCGTATCGGTAGATACATGATTGCATTTACGCCCTTTTAACAACAGGAGCAGCTTTATTAACTGCTTATAATCATAAATGATCCCTGACATGGAGACAGGATGGATCAGGATCTAACAGCAGGTCACACTGTAAACTTTTCTTCACCTCAGACAGGTGAGCTTCAGTCTATCAACTGCAGGTAAATCATTTGTTGCATAGCGGTCGCTCTCAGGTTGGTGCAAATTAGTAGTTAACATATTATCACACATGGACAGAATTTACCGTAATTTCCGTACTACTGAGTGCACCTGATTATAGGCTGCCCAACTTTAAAAAGAAAACAAGCTTTGTACATATATCGGCCGCACTTGTCTATAAGGTGTCCACGTTGTAACATGAGATGTTTACAAAGAAATATATTTTTTTTTAACTCTTAATTAAATACGAACCGGTAACATACACAACTACGTAAATGCTTTTTTCCGAACAGTGCCTGTAACACGACTGGTTAAGAAAATAGAAACTACAGTATCCTACTAGGAGAAGTCATTGATCACTATCGTCATCTTCCTCCTGCACTAAAACCACTAAAGTCGTCTTCTTCAGTGTCGGAGTTGAACAGCCTCAGAATTACTTCGTCACACGCTTCCTCAGTCTCTCTTTTGTTGTCGTTCTCAATGGCACTTTTGTTTTGAGGCAAATTCGGATAAAAATCCATAAATTAGCCGCATCATTGTTCAAGCCACAGTGTTCAAAGCGTGTGGAAAAAAATAGCGGCTTATAGTCCGGAATTTACGGTAAATCAGATATCAAGGAAAAAAAATAGGCTAATAGACATTTTTAACATTTAATAATCTACTGTTGGTTTAGATTTGGTCTTTTTTTTTTATTAGTGTGTGATTGTGCATTAATCATCACTTGATGAAGCCACGAGGAACATTAATGTGAAAGTGTGCCGTCACTTTAACAGACTGATAAAGCAGCAATAATACATATCATAATAGTTCTGCAAAGTGCTATCGTTGTGTCTTTTGTATATAGATGCAAAATGTCTTCAGTTCTTGATCTTGCCAGTGAAAATACAGAAGAAAAAAAATGTACCAGCTAGACTGACATCAGTCTGTCCTTGTGTTTCAGTGTCCAACGTGTTCATCGTGGCGTCCCTGTACACAGAAAGGCAGCTATCGAAGGTGAGTGTGAACACCCCGCTTGCACTTTAAACTCAGAGCTGCTGCGGATTTTAACCGGACTGTTGAATTCAAAGCACTTTTGGCAATTCTCCAGAGGGATTATTTTTCTAAAACTGCTCTCTAAAAACTGACTGACTAGCTGACCCTCCCCGGTTGCATCTGCAAAATGTTAAATAGTAAAAAAAAAAAAACGAGGAATTAGTTTCACCATCTGCATTTAGGGCATATTCAGTTATGCTCTGTCTGTTTGTCATGAATATGGAACATCATGAGCTTTTTTTTTTTTTTCACTGAAACTTAACTAGGCCAGCAATACTTAAAATGTGTTCTGTTCAAAAGCAGACTAAACAAATGCTCAACATTTCTCTGTATTCTCGTCAGTTGTTTCAGAAATGGGTCAAAAATAAATGACTTACAGTGAAAGTCTGCAAGCGAAATGAAAGGCAGTTTGTCTGGTTGAAAATGGGACGGCACACTGTTCTGAAGATTTGACGTCAAAACTCCTGCTGTCCCTCTGTGCTTCTCTCCACCCAGGGCTCGTTCAGTGAACTTGTGGGATTTCTGGTCCATTGCATCAACTTTGCAACTATGCTAACATTCCCCGCTGCAGTGGTCCTGTTGGTTCCCTCTGTGACCCCAGGTAAAGCCGTTTCTCTATGCACAACCAAGACAAATAGTTAGCTAAAACTGCAGTATCTATTATCCGTTCGTCGGTAGTTTACAGCGTGCGTGTGACATAGAAAATCATGTAAGTGTAATAAAGATTAAGAGGACATTCGTGTCCTTGCCCTTCACAGAAACAGCGAATCGGTTTGATAGTGCAGTAAAAGACAGCCTCTTATACGGAGTCATAATTGGAGTCGGTTAGTGGTAATGGACCAGTTGGTCATGACTGGATTGGTTCCAGCTGGCTCTGAGGAGAGGAGAGGAGAGAAGAGGAGAGGAGTGAGGGAGGACAGAGGAAAGGAAAGGACAAGACCGGAGTGGAGGGGAGAGGAGAGATGCCAGAGTGGGTGTGGTTTGCGGCGCAGGGTCGTCCAAGGGTCGCCTTCTTCTGTCTTTATCAGGCTGCCTGACAGAAACCGTGGCTGCCGTCCACAAACCACACGGCTCACCCATGACGAACTGGGAATACTGTACATGACGCACAACTACACAATATCGCCTAAAAAAAATGCTGCGACAGGCACTCCAAATATTAAAGTTGCATGCACAAACATCTCAGTTTTCCTAAAAGGCTGAAATATAGAATCCCTCTTTCCCTGTTTAGTTGTGAAAAGTGAGTTTTTTCCTTTGGTAGGACAAACGCACAACACATCACGTTACCAGGAAAATACTGTTTACACCTCACCAAGTTGAGTAATAGCTCAATATTTAGGAAAAATTACCGTAAATTCCGGACTATAAGCCGCTACTTTTGCAACACGCTTCGAACACTGCGGCTTTAACAATGATGCGGCTAATTTATGGATTTTTATGAATTTGTCTCGAGACGAAAGTGACATTGAGAGCGACAACGAAAGAGAGACGGAGGAAGTGTGTGACAAAGTAATTTTGAGGCGGCTCAGTTCCGACACTGAAAAAGACGGCTTTAGTGGTTTTAGTGCAGGAAGAAGATGAAGATAGCGATCAATGACTTTTCCTGGTAGGCTACTGTATTTTTTTATTTTCTTAACCAGCCGTGTTACAGGCACTGTTCAGAAAAAAGCATTTATGTGTTTGTGTATGTTACCGGTACGTCTTTAATTAAAAGTTTAAAAATCTTTCTTTGTAAACATCTCATGTTACAACATGGACACCTGCAGCTTATAGACAAGTGCAGCTTGTATTCAGGTGCGCTCAATAGTCTGAAAATTCTAGTAGTTCAAGAAAAGATATTTAAATACCAACTGAGGTATGTCAAGCTTTATTACTCATCATTAAAACTAGTGGTACGTTTTTTTGTAAAATGCTAGAATGAATTTGTTCCGACCACAAAAACGTAACATTTGTTCATGCATTGTAAAATCATTTTGCAACTCTAGTATATTATCTAGATTAGAAGTTAAACTCTGAACTCAAAGTTCAAAGGACTCAAAAAAGATTCCTTTCTTTACATATTTCTTGTACAAAAATCCAGTTTGCTCCGCATAAACAAGGCCTGCAGTTCAGCCTAATACAGTATTTGTCATGTGACTGTCGGCCACAGCTGACTCATTCAGGGTTTATCGAATAAGCTGAGAAGTGCCGAATGTTTTGTTTTTTACCGAATCTCTTCACTGTTAACAGTTTACTTTTGTAGAATTTTTAAATGATCCATATCGAATAAAGTAGTTTTAATTAAATATCACAACTTTAAGCTTAGATTTGATTAATTTTCTCTAAAAAAAAAAACCCCACCATATCGCACATAATAAGTTCATTGATGATCACTTGATTAATTTGCAGGACAGGAAACGTAACTGTCAAGTATTACTTTAGCAACATAGAAAATGTATTGTAGAAAATGAGGTACTTCTGATCTTAAAGTAATAAAATATGCACACTTCTGGAGTAATTCTAGTTACGCAGCTTTTACTGAATCAAATCAAGTTTAACCTTAGGTTACCAAAGTGCTGAACAATATATTGGACAAGAAGCAACAAAAATATGTGCAAAAAGCGAGACAGAAAACAGGATAAAACGTATTACCTCAATAAATATACGACACTGAAATACTAAGACTGCTAAGGCCAACCAAAAGCCATTAAAGTTTTGTACATCTTGAACATTTTCTTTAAAAATGTCAACAGAGGAGCACCATTGGATTAAAAGAGGAAGCTCTTCCAACGATAACCCACTGACCTCGATGGTGCAACAAAAAACTAAAGAACCAGCTTTCATGTTGTGGTTCAAGTAAAATCTTAAACCTCTGCCGGAGTTACACATTTTTCACCTTCGCATGTAATGAACTTTAAAATATTTCACCGTCAAGGTCACATTTGTCACTTAACCCACAAAATTTTCCACAGTGGGAGCAGTTCATGTCATTAGCGTGATATATTTAGCTCCGATTGTTGGCACAGCATCAGTGCTTTACTGCTCAAGGTTTAGTCGGTGAACCTTTAACTTCTCCTGAATGTGGAAAGACACACGATGAGTTTTATGTGTGAGCTTGTGTTTACTTAGTCTGACAAAAAAGAATGGTTTCAGGTATTTGCTTCCTCTCCATTTCGGTTTATCCTCCTCTCCTCTCCTCTCTCATCTGTTCTCTCTCTGGGAGGCGAACAAGTAAAGGACTCGTCCATCTGTCTGTCTGTTGTCGTCTCTGCGCTGCTGTTCACACAGGAAGGGCGACGACAGAGGGCAGGTGTGTGCTTGCACAGATATACAGTATGTTTGTGTTTCAGCTGGTATGACTCATGCTGTGGGGACATCCGGCAAGACTCCATAACGTAAATCATGAAATTTTACAGCGAGGACGAAGGGGAAGGGTTTTGATTACCTAAGCAGTGGTTGTGGTTACGATAAGAATCCAGGAAGCGATTGCAAGCCAGCGTAAAGTCCTCCTTATGTCGGTGTGTGGGTGGGTGTGTATGTAAAGGCAACTATTGCTTAATGTAGTGGAGTTTAAAGTGACAGCACTCTGACAGACAGGTCTTGCAACTATAAGACTAAAAAGAAGGAGGTATGACTGTTGTAGCTGGAGGCGCTCAAATTCTGTCGGCGTCCCTTTAAAGTGTGCAGTTATGTCTTTGTATTGACTTGTGAGAGTAACAGTTGAACTCTGTCAGTGTTCTTCAGATGATAAAGTGCATTTTAATTTGTTTTTAATGTGAGGCTCAATACTGAGTTCTGAGTCTATGGTGGCTCCAAGGGTTTTCCGTGGTTGACATGGGTTTAATGCCATCGTTTGTGGGTTTCTTTCTCTCGGTTTCAGGACTAGACGTTGAGACTTCAGTTTTGTCCTGATTGGGCTGCAGGAAATTCTCTGCCATCCATAACTCAATTTCTAAAATACAGTTAAAGCTCAAGGTCATCAGGAAACTATTGATGTAAAGCTGTGTGTCATCAGCATAGCGATGGAAGTTAATGCCAGCTTTAACCAGCCAATGTTTTTTTAACCTCACTTCATTGTAACAAATGTATTTCTTCCACTGCAACACAGTCCAACTTGTTTCAGCGTCTCAGAGTACATCAACACCGCAGTAGAAAACACACAAATGAACTATTCAGAGTCCAGGCTCTTTACATCCATTAACTTCTCTCCTACTCCCTGTGCTCACATGTGCTGCATTTTATTACAGCCGAATCCCCAATAAAGCTGCTCTCATTTACATATTTTTCTATTTCTGTTATCAGACAACAGAAAAGCTGACTGGAATATGGCTCATTTAGACGACATGTAAACCAGCAGTCACTTCTAAGCTGCTGCTGAGCACCACTAAACTCTTGATTTTATAACTGCAAAATCACTAAACATGTGCGTCAATGACGGAGGCTGTGAATTTGGCCAGAATTTAAAGCTTCTACCAAAGACATACAGTATGTAAAAATAAAATGTACTTAACTGCAATGATCACTTTGCTTTTTTTTTTTTTTTTGCAGGTAAATGAATCATCGGATTAGTCAGTCGAAAAATAGCCTCATCCCTGATGACATTTTCAAGTGGCAGGATATAAAAGTTTAAAAGTGTAGGACCTAGAACTGAACCTTGAGGAACACCGTCACCGTGATTAATTTTGTTGCTTTAGGTGAACATTTGTTAGTGTTTTACGAAAAATTCTCTCAAAACAAACAGTTAAAAATGAAATCACAAGGTTGGTGGTATGATCCTCAGCTCCTCCACTGACTGAGAAACACATTGTAAAGCACTTTGTAGAAGCTAACTAAGGTTAAAATGTGCTGTACAAGGTGACATCCTAGATCTGAGCTTAAATTGTTGTTTATATTGGTCATGTTGGAAAGAAAGGTGTCTTGAATAGGAGTCTAAATAAGTGTCATTTTGTCTGATGCAGCCAAACCAGGCATTTCTTGCTTTGGAAAAAGTTTTTTTTTTCCATTCCTGAGCACTTCACACTACTAAAAAAGGACACTTCCCTCTCTGCATTTAACCTGTGACTCACTTCCAGAGTATGCTCTCAGAAGAAAACAGGATAGCTGATGGGTTAAACTTCATGGTTTTGGTGGGAACTTGTGCAGAACTGGTTCGCCTGGCATGTTTTCCCGCTCGAGCTCTTTGTGTGTTTCCTACGATCGCTATCTGCAGCGGCCATCTTGGAGACAATCTAGCTGTTTAGGAGCCACACTGAGCCAGAGAGACAGATGGTTAATGGATAAGATCTGCTGTGGTTTGATGCCAGGTGTGCTGACCTCCTCCTCACCCTGCTGGCGCAACAGACACTTTTGGTTTGTGTGTTTCCTCCCGTTCATATATGAACGTGATCCCTTTTTCTGTCAAGCATATGGTGACTATTGATAAAGTCCTGGTGGACAAACGGCTCAGCTGCTGTGTGAGTGTGTGCACAATTCTACACAATTTTCAAAATGTGTTTATTAATCTCCCTTGTAATCAGTTCTAATTTATTGGCGAGTAAACATGAACACAGTTTTATGACTGTGTAGTGACGTCCTTGGCATAGTTAGACTTCGCTGAGATGATTTATTTTGCTCGGATTGTTTTGCTGTTTGTTCAAGATCAAATGACGACCTCTTGTTCTCTTTTTTTCCTTTTTGTTTTCCTCTCTGCTCTTTCGTCTGCTTTCATTCTGTTCCTGTCTTCCTCCCACCGTCCATCCTCCATCTCACACTTTCTTTCTTTTTTTTCTCCATCTATACCTTTTTTTTCTTCACCTTTCCCTTTTTCCCTTCTCTCCTCCCTGCTTACATTTTATTCCTTTGCAGCTTTGTCCACATCACATGGTTAACCATCACCTTTTTTTCCCCCCCTTCTCTCTCCCCGTCAGTCGGAGGTGCTTTCGTGCTCGGTACTTACACGATTCTCTTCCTGAAGCTCTACTCCTACAAGGACGTCAACTTGTGGTGCCGGGAGCTGAGCACCATCAAGGCCAAGAAACTGGCTCGGTCGCTGTCATGTAAGTTTGCACACAGTATATAGACTCATGTTATGACTTGAATAGAACTGTATCGACAGCATGTCATATTGGCTGTTCTATGTGAGTGTCTTTACATTTCTTTGAAAGGGATGTTGCTTATGCTATTGCAGTGACATCTACTGGCTGACACCTGACACTGCAGCTCTCAGAAAGAGTATTCAGCTGAAGGCAAAACTATTAATCGCCATACCACTGAGTTTATATTTGACCAGGAGGTTTCTGACGGCTGGAAATGACATAACCAACTGAAAGAAGATAGTCAGACATTGGGTTACAAGTGTTATTGTTGAATTTTTATTTATTTTATAACTAAAAATGTAATGTTTATAACTTATTCTCATTGCTACTCAGCAATTGGTTCCAAAAAGCCTTTATTTGCCATGACATCACTTCATTTTTATGCATAGAATCTGCATTTTCTCAACTATTTGCACCATTTTTAAGGGGTATGAATCATTTTGTACATGACATTGTTCGTAAAAGTGTGAAAAAAAACCCATAGAAATAGTTCATATTTATCATTAACATCTCTGTCTTTATGTCATTTCCAGCCAGAAGAAACCCATCAGTCAAATATTAATTCATTATAGATCAAAGTTTTGGGTTACGCTGTCTAAGTTTCACAAAGCAGGATACAGAAACTCACCGTGGTCTATGGAAAGTCCCTAATAAGTACCAGAAAAGTCTAATATTCCATTAAACTTATCGTATATTGCATTGTCATTGTGTGCTGGTGGACATGTGTTTGTATATAAACGCTGGATGTTTGCTGCAGGTCCGTCGCCACACACCTTAAATGGAGGCGAACTCAAGGTGTGCTATCCTGGAAACCTCACCATCAGAGGTACACCAGTGCATCTTACTGTTTGTTTGAGGCTGAGTTAGTCTCATGTTCTGACCAACTAACCTCCTCTCCGTCTCTGCAGATATGTACTACTTTGTCTTCGCTCCAACTCTTTGCTACGAGCTCAACTTCCCGCGCTCTCCCAAAATTCGCATGAGCTTCCTGCTGAGGAGACTGTTTGAGATGGTGAGGAAATATCTAACGTCAGGTCCTGCCAGAAAGGTTACCGTAGCAGCTTGTTCAGGTTATCACAGAAAAACGGGACCTGTGGCTCTGATAATAACGGGCATCTTAGGAGAGTTTCCTAAAATCATTTACTGGAAAAATCTTTTCAAGCATCTTCCATGCAAGTCTGCTGACACCGCTACAAAGAATATAGCATTTATTATCAGTGATTGTGATCACAGTTTTGATTTGTTTTTGGTTTTTTAAAAGAGTAATTTTGCTTATTTAACATTTTGAATCCCAAAACCCAGGTTTGCAAGACTTGTTATCTTTAAAAATTTTGAAAGTTACACTATTTATCAGAGCAAGAAACTTTAAAAACAGAAAGAATAAGATTCAACTTAAATCATCACCTGTGATGTGCGGTATTGTTGCTTTTTATCAAGATGAATTTATCCTGCATGTTTCATTTTACAGTTTACATGGAGCAGAGAAATGACAAGAATAGAAGCTAATTAGAGATTCATAGATAAACATAAAACACTTGAACACTGAAGTAAATGCAGCATGGCTCAAAAATAGTATACAGAGGAGCAAGTTGTTGGAAGATACATTCAGCATGGTGAAATATGTTTCTGGAGCTGATGTGTAGAGTAAAGTGAAAAATAGGCCAATTTTAATGGTTGTAAAATATCCATTGTATGCAGGGTTGTCATTTTGGTACTTTGTAACACATGTGGGCTTTTAAATAAATGTTCTACATGTTAATTCCATTTTTTTTTTCCAGTTGTAAAATGAAAACATCTGAGACATTTTTGATTTACAGGATTATAACGGTGTTACACTGCACAGGAGACATATTTAAGTTCTCTCTACTTCTAGCGATGGTTGTGCTGTTTCTATAGAGGTGTAGGACTTTATGTTGCAGTGAAAAATGAGCCCACATTGAGTTAAAATGTAGCAGACAGTCGCTCAAAAACTAGCGTGAGTTTAAATCGTACAGTCGCTTTTGCAAAGTTGTTGAGATCTGGGCTCTTACTGACAACAAAGTAAGCAGTCATGCAAAAAGAATGTCTCTAAATAGTATAGGTCCCTTATTCTCTGTTGATCTTAATAGTTAATAATAAGTGATGACAGTTTATTTTTCTCAAATCGTGTCGCTCACTCTGTGAATATGTGTCTTTCTCCTCAGCTGTTCTTCATCCAGCTGTTGGTTGGTCTCACTCAACAGGTACCATCTGAAGCTTGGTGCTTCATATTTGAATACCATCATTTGTATTGATGCTAACATGGAATAACTGTTATAGACACCAAATAATTTCCACTTTACATGTCTGAAAGTGTCCTCACACTGATTTGTTCTTCTCTGTTCATCAGTGGATGATTCCCATCATTCAAAGCTCCATGAAACCACTAGAAGTAAGAAAATGACGGTAAACCCAATGCTGCAGATTTAAATTGCTTTTTATTGTGTATTTGTAATATTATTGGCCTCTCTTCTCCTCTCCACCAGGACATGGATCTGTCCAGGATGACCGAGAGACTCCTGCGATTAGCTGTGAGTTCCAACAAAACCTTTAAAGCTTGTTGATTATGTTACTATAGCATGATTCATTCATTGGAGTTGTCCACTGCTACACAATTACTATTACAGTAAATAAATGCATCTATAACTCAGTGACTCTCCTGAAACTGTGGAGACACATTCGAGCGTTTTTCAGCAGCGGATTCCAGTTTTTGTGTGTTTTATTCTGGTTCACGTGGATCTCTGCAGGTTCCCAATCACTTGCTGTGGCTCATATTTTTCTACTGGTTCTTCCACTCGTCGATGAACTTCACCGCCGAGCTGCTGCGCTTCGGAGACCGACAGTTTTACAAGGACTGGTGGTACGTTTGTGTGTTGTGGTGTCTGCATTGTTTGTGAATTTTGTGGTTTCATGCGGTCTGCAGAGCTCAGAGCAGCTGCATGAGTGAGTTTATACATTTTTGCTAAATTGCTAACATATTTGTTTAGGTGAGAATAAGAGTTTGGAAGGTTCTAAAAGTTGAAACGCTTTTGCGAATGTAGTAACACGTATATTATTCTGATATTAGTGAACCAGTTTCCCTCAGTTTACTGTAGAATAATTACTATTCTTTCCTCTTTTTCTGCATGACAACAAAGATTTTAGACTTTTTTTTCCCCCTGTTCATCAATATTGATCAAACTGCATTAAATCAATTATTCAGAGACTGTAACGCTTCACTGCTCTTATTCACCGACTTTTCTCTTTCAGGAATTCGGAGACGGTGACATATTTCTGGCAGAACTGGAACATCCCCGTTCACAAGTGGTGTCTACGGTGAATTATCTGCACACTGAGACACTAGAAGGGAGCGATGAAATTTACAGGACTCAACACGGTGATAGATTTGATATGGGACGTAACCCGCTGAACCCTTCCCGAGCAGTTTCTGGGTGTTTTCTCCTCACTGTGATCTGCAATATAAAGTCCCTCACCTCTGTAGAAACAGAACAGACATGAGTAGAAGTAGAGAGAACTCAGAAATGTTTTTTGTGTTTTATTACAAAGTTAAATTATTCAGAGCCATAAAAAAAAAAAGAAATTTCTTTGATTTAATTTAGAAAAAAATCAATTAATGTACAATTAATTGATATCACTATTTTTCTAAATGCCGACAGATATTACCAGTACTGAAAAAAAAAAAAAATTGCTCAATATGATTTTCAAAAACAGAAAACTCAATTTTTCTAGATTTTTAGAAAACTTTTTTTGTTGTCGTTTGCTTGAGATAATATGAATCAAACTGAAGCTGAGTGGATTTGACTCAGTAGAAATGACAAAAATAGAGACAACTTAAGTTTGATTGATATTGTCTCAGGAAGCTGATGGAAAAATGGATTTCCTGAAGGTTTGTGAAGATGGAGTTATCTGTTTTTGCAAATGAACTCTTCATATACTCTTACATGTTTAACCTCTACATACAAGCTTTCACACTATTCTGCACATCAGCTCTAGATAAATGTTTCCCCATGCACCATTTCACCATTTTAAGCCATGCTGTGGTTATTTTATAATCAAATATGTTTTATTTTGCTCTCGGTCTCCACTGTTATGTCCTCTCTGCTCTGTGTAAACACAGTTTTGCCCAACAGTCTCTGAATGGCCGTTGGTCACAGCTGAGTCACTTTTTTCATACTTTTTTTCTTTTTTTTTACATGATTTGGTGCAAACAGTTTGTTTTGCTAAATTCTTATTGGAGACATGTAAAATACAGCAATTTTAACAAAATATCATGAATTTAAGTTTAGCTTTTTGCTTAATTTTTCCGACAGAAGAGCGTGTCACATATAAACTATCAGAAAGTTAAAAGTCTTTGTTCTGCTTTAACAGTTTCTGGCTCTGATTAAAGGTGGAGTCTTGGCATTTTTTGTCTTTCAAAGCTGCATGCAGGTGTTGGGGTTTAGAAGGTCAAGCAAGTAACACTGGTGTATTTGGGAAAATGGATTCATCTGTCTGTGAATGAATAATTCATATTATGATGTCATAGTGATTTCTACATACACTAACACAGCAACAGGGACAAATATATTGAAGTAATATTGGGGAAAACAGTGAATACGATGCTAGTTTAGCAGTTATAGGCCTTTATTTGTGTCAGAGAGGAAGAATTAAAGCACATAAGATACAGAAGTCATTATTAGAGAGACAAATTTTGTTCTTAAAACATTTCTGCAGTCTTTATGAGTGTTGCTCTAACCAACTATGTGTAAGCAAATTAAGAAACATTACAAGTAGGAGTCAAATTCTTTGAGGTGTACATATACTGGCCTGCTGATTCTTATGCTTATTTGTCTTTGTACATGTCACTTTTGCACATATTTTATTTGAACTCTGCAGTTTGGTGTCAGTCTTCTGTTTCTATCGTACAGTGAACTTAAGGTTTTCTTTGTGAAGCTCTTTAGAGAAGCTAGAAGCTCTAAAAATACATCCTGTTGTGTCAGTCCACACGTGGCCAAATAGAAGAATCTTAAATGTTTTGTCCATCACCTGTCCACCTGTCCATCCACCTACATATTCACTGACTTCAACATTTGTCCCTCTGTCCGTCTTGCAGCCACTTTTACAAGCCGCTGCTGAGGAGAGGATTCAGCAAGATCATCAGCCAATCAGCTGTCTTCTTCTTGTCGGCTTTTTTTCACGAGGTAAGAGCAGAAAGCAAAAGCAGCTCCACATAGAACATGTTGGTCACATGATATTAATGATGCTCGTCTGTCTCTCTGTCAGTACTTGGTGAGCGTTCCTCTCAGGATGTTCAGACTTTGGGCTTTTACGGGCATGATGGCACAGGTGAGACCCGACACTGATGAGAAACTTACAAATCATGCACTGTATTGGGATGCATATCTATACATTTTCATTGTAAACTGTATAATTTGCATTGTCAGGCAGGTACAAATAGAAATTCTTGGTAGTGTTTGAAAAGGTTATATATATAAGTAGGTGCATGTAGATTTTGAAGTGTGTGACATTTACTCATTTGTGTAGCTCAGTCGGACCAAAAGTCAAACTAAAGATGTCCCTTTCGACTGCCGTGGGACATTTTAAACCCTTTGAACCCCAAAAAAAGTCGTCTGGCAGGTTTGAAATGCATGTTTCATTTAAAAATTACAAAATTACAGCACCTATCAGAGCCAGAAACTGTAAAATAGAAAGAATTGTCCGATTTTGAGCTTACCAATGGTCCTTGAACTATAACTTGCAGTTCCAAAAATAAGCTTAACGTTGTGATATTTCATCAAAATCCCTTCAATCTACATGTCTCATTGATATATATATGAAAAAAATGAGCCACTTCAACAAGATCTTTACTAATTCTGCATACAATTCAGCAACTGGAAAGCCAAAAGTCTTGCGACAAATGAGACTTTTAGGTTGAAGACACCAAGAGGAAAATAAAACAAACTTAAGCAATAAAATAAATGCAGCATGACTCGAAAACAGACGACTTGTTGGGGAGAATTCTAGTTCAGAGTAGTGTAAAATTCACCTAGCTTTGCAGAAACCGTATAAATGTCGATGGTAAAAGATCTTTAGCTTGTGGAGCCACGATTTTTTCTTGTGTCAGTGACAACTGTGGGCAATTTGAGGAAAACGTCGCACTTGATTATTACAGTTTTCTTTCAGTTAATGTAAAATATAGGCCATTTTTTATTATTTCTGTGATTTATGGCATTCCAGCTGTGTTAAACTGCACAGAAGACCTTTCCGACTTCTCTCTCCTCCTAGTCCTGGTTGTTCTGTTTCCGTAGAGCTGCAGGGCTTTTGTGTTGGAGTGAAAAATGAGCCCACAGCGAGTAAAAACACTGAGAAACAGTTTGGGATCCAGAGGGTTAAAAGGTGTTGTCTGGCCTCGGCTCTGGTATCATTAACTTAACGAATGACCTCATTAGCGCAGCAGGGGATATCTGATGCATCATGGGAAATAAGCCAGGACAATAGGCGGCGTAAAGGCCTCTCTCTTGTTTGCTGTCTTTGTAGGTTTCATATTCATTAAAGTGTGCTGAGTCACAAAACACAGACAACAGAAATCAGAGGCACACAAACACTGTAATTAGTCATTACCGACACAATCACCCACTGTGTTTATGCAATTACATTTTTTTTTTCTCTTTTTCACCGACTCATCAGCTTCCATTAGCCTGGTTCGTCGGCCGCTTCCTGCGCGGTAACTACGGCAACGCTGCGGTGTGGATGTCCCTCATCATCGGCCAGCCGTTCGCCGTGCTGATGTACGTCCACGATTACTACGTCCTGCACTACAGGGAGGAATAGCTCACACCGAGGTTCCGTCTCACTTCTCTTTTGTCTTTCTCGCACAAACAATCACGAGTTTCCACACAGAGCAGGTACCAGATATCGTCCTCGACGAGTCAGGACGAGCTAATCGCATCGTTACGAGTTTACATTTGAAACCTCCACCGTTGTGTCTTCCTGCTGGGATTCCTTACAAAGAAGCAAACAGAAATAAGAATCTTGAAACACTACTGTAACGTAGAGGGGAAGGCGATGAACACCCGATCAGCCACAGCGTTAAAACTCCCGACAGATTATCTCATGGCAGCTGAAATGCGGTACGTGAAGCAGCAAGTCAGTTCTTTGATTTGTTCGAAGAAGCAAAAATGGGCAGCTGGGGGCATTCAGACGGGACCATGGAGTGATGGAAGGAGGTGGCATCCAAAGTAGTTGTCGGATCACTCGCTAATTTAAAATGCCAAATAAACGCCTCATGTGGTGGCAACAGAGCACCTGCGTTCGGTCGCTATCATCCTTTATGTAGCCGTAATATTTTCATACAACTGATGTTTTTGCTTTTTGTAGCATCTCTTGCTTTTTGCTTTTTGGAGTCTGCACGTCAACAAATTTTGTCTTGTGATTAAAGTAGAAAAATAAGGGTGCCCCTATAGCTCACCTAGTTGAGCGGGCGACCCATGATCAGGGGCTAGAGTTCCCCGACACAGCGCTCATGGGTTCAAATCCCACTCATGACCCCTTCACCTGCAGGTCTCTCCCCATTCTCCTCCCCTCGTCTCTCTAATGCACTAAATAAAGACAAAAGCCCGAAAAATAAAATCCAAGAATCAAAGTAAACAACGTTCTATGAGGCAGATTTCTCTTGTAGAATATTAACAGGAAGTTTTCTTCTCATATCAAGCAGCTAAAAAAAGTTGTAGCAGGATGTTTTTGAGTAACTTGCCGTTTTTCCACATTGCACTTCTGCATATCGATGCCTGAGTGATACGTATCTTTGACATCTAAACAATGTCACACACCACCTACCTACCAATCCATCAATCGAGAACATAAATGAGCAGCTAGTCTGTTTACACCTGTACCTTCTCTAAAACTGTCTTCCTCCTTTGAGGTTTCTTCAGGAAACATTTGTGTTTTTACTTCTATAACGTTCCCCTTTTGATCAAACTGACCTGCTCCATATCAGGAAGGTGGTTTTAATGTTGTGGCTGATCAACGTATTATGCAGCATTTTGCTCAGGTTGTTGTTTTTCATTCCGGCGTCTTGTTAATACCTTTTAGTTGAGTCGATGACTTACTGTATTTGCGAGAACATCAGCATGCAGGGTTGTGTTGCCTTTCCTACGCTTGTCTCTAGCTGTGTGCATGGACGCTATAATCACTGAGTTTCATCACACGTTAATTTGACAACATGGTACAAGTTTTAGTAGAGATTTGGGATCCACTTTGTTCCGTCCTTTGTTTTTTGTTCTGAGCCAAAGGGGCCTTGATCTGTCTGGTTTCGCTGTTCGGTGGAGGTGGAGCACCACTAGAAGAAATGAATGTAAGCTGATAGGACTTTATTTTGTTACTATGATCACTTTGTCAGTCGTCAACAGGCCAGAGTTACTGTTTGTCTACGTTTTTTACCTGAAGTGCCATTACAGTGCAGCTCAGTTGCTTTTACACAGTTTGTGTATTGAACAAAAGCTATGCAAAATCAATAGATTAGTGTGTTACTGTCTTATTGGACCACTGCCGCGTGCAAGTGTGTAATAATATGAATGCAATGTTTGTGTCTCAAAATAAAAGATTATTTTGCTTCAATTGAAGTCTTTTGATTAATTTTATGTTTTCTTGTTTTCACTGGAGCGAACATGGTCATTGTCGTTCTATTTTGATCAAAGTAAATTAGGACTAAAAGCAAAAAATCACACTCACCAAAGGATTTGTTCCTGAAAATGAATCATTTGATAAACATTTATCCAGTTACAAGCACTCGTAATTAGCCTGATAGAGACAAATTGTTATCTAACAAAAATGTGACCGTTTGTGAAGTCTGCTGTCACACAGGTGTCTGAGTTGTAGAATTGAGTACTTTAAGCGGTAATAATTAATATTTTAACTACATAATGGAGGCCTTATGGAACACAAATGCGATGCTATTTTCACTGATACCAGCTTTTAATATACAGTCGGGACTTGACATTCTGACCCTTAACAATCTGAAAACCTTGTTATCCAACAGGGTTTTAGAAAAAAAAAAGGAACGGAACCCATATAAAATTTTTATACATGTTGTTTTTTCTTTATTATGTAAAAACATTTTGCAAATTCTGTTCTTAAAAAGTGCTCTACAAATAAAGTTGATATATATTATAAAACAGCCTTAACATACCGACAGCCTTGGATTCTGACTCCGACATGACATTTTATGTCACAAATCAGGATAACGATGTATTATCTGACTGAACAATCCCACAGATTGGCTACGTTCAGACTGCAGGACTTAATGCTCAATTCAGATTTTTTTGTGAGTTCGTTCACATTTCCAATTAAATGCGACTTGTATGTGATCTGCTGTGTGAACTTCATACGACCCAAAAGTGTCCCGCATGCGCAGAAGAGGACACGACGACGTCACACGCCGCGAGCGTGCTCAGTGTTTGTGGAAGTAAACACGGATGGTAACGGTGGAGCGTATGTGCCACTCCCCTGCCACCACCACCGATGGTGGAGACAGAACTGTGACCGCTATCCTAAACTGGCATCAGCAGTCAAGTACTGCCTGTGGGTTCCAGCCAACCCGCCGCCCGACCCCCCCAACTATTTGGATATTCATTTTTAATTGGATCTGTGTTGTTCAGACTGTCATGAAAAGATCAGATACAGGTCACATAGGAGGAAAAAAAGTCAGATTTGGGTCACTTCAGCCTGCTGTCTGAACGTATTCACAGTTGAGGTCAACTGACAGGCCGTGCACAAGTGCACCATCCATCCATCCATCCATTTTCTATACACCGCTTAGTCCTCATTAGGGTCGCGGGGGGGCTGGAGTCTATCCCAGCCGACTTAGGGCGAAGGCAGGGGACACCCTGGACAGGTCACCAGTCTATCACAGGGCCACACTTAGAGACAGACAACCAAGCACACTCACACTCACACCTACGGACAATTTAGAATCACCAATTAACCTCAACATGTTTTTGGACTGTGTGGGAGGAAGCCGGAGAACCCGGAGAGAAGATTCCGGGACGCGAACCGGCAACCTTCTTGCTGCGAGGCAACAGTGCTACCAACTGCGCCACCTTGCAGCCCACAAGCGCACCAGTAAAGTAGAAATCCAGCAATGCGTAGTGTTCTAACAATACACTAGTTATTATAACAACTATACACAATGAATATCAACAACAAATGAGCCTTCAAGCATCAAGCCCTCCTTGTATCTCGACCTCCGTCTTGACAATCCGACAGCCTTGCTATCCAACATAAAAGAAGGTTTTACATTTAGTGTCGGGTTATCGAGTCACGACTGTTTGTGCTTTGACTAGAGGTCATTAAGCATCATAGAAGTCTTTGTCGTAGCTGAACCCCCACAAGTAAGAGGCTTTAATGCTGGCACCACCATCATTTTACACAAATAACATTTTTTAAAAAACCTACAATTAAGTTTAATATCAATAATTTATTTCTTTAAGACCTTCCCCAGTAAAAGATTTAAATATGATCAGCGTCAAAGCCTCAAGAAATGGAAGTAAATCACAGTCCTGTACTGAGAGCGGCTTCTAATGCTCACACGCTCCTATTTTGTCAGCATTATTCATCATGATTAGAAAATCTACCGGGTAAATATTTAACCGAAGACAGAGACAAAAATCCTTTTTCCACTCTGCTACGGGGCATCCTATTCAAGGGCACGAAACCGTGTCACCGCCAGTGTGTGCGCTCATGAATTTGTCATCCAGAGGTGTGAGTACAGGCCTGCGAACCTGTATTTTGTCAGCTTGACAGTGAATTAAACAGCAAGTCTGGGGCAAATCACGGAGTTTCTGGAGGCCTGTGTGTACAGTACAGCGCTCGGCGAGGGTGACATTCGGTTAAACAATCATCACTGGGGATTAGAGGTGACAGGAGACATGACTTTGGAGGATAGGCGATGCAACACAGAGAGTCGGCTCAGTGTAAAAACTGGGTTTTCTCCATCAATCTCATTTATTTGGGGGGAAAAAAGGAAGTTTTAAAGCCTGTTAGTGGACACAACAGTTTCTTGACCTGCTGACATTGCATTCTCAGCCGGGTTGTGAACAAGGCGGTCACATTTTCCGCTCGCATCTTTTACAGGAATACACGTATTTATTTGTTCAAGTAATCAAATTCCGCACAGCTCCTCCTCTTGATTCCCATCAAACTGGCCAGCAGTGCCAAAAAAAAGTGAGCTTTTTGTTTCCTGCGGCACAGCCTTAATCCTCCATCCATCCTCCGCTCATTCCTGACAAATAAACCATCCGAGAGCAGGGGAGGGGGGAGTAAAAAAAGAAGTGCAGAAACCTCGTCATTTGTCGTCCATCATCAATATTCACACTGACATCAACAAAGCCGACCAGATTCTCCCGCTCGGACTGAATCGATGCGCCGTCTCCGTACCTGAACGCTCACAAACACACGTCATGTAATTGTCCATTTGTCATTTTTACACCTACGCGCTCAGACTCATATAATACAATCGCTCCATCTTTGTCTTTAAGTTTTTCTCCTCCTCCTCCTCCTCCTCCTTCCCCTCCCCCCTTGTTTTTCTGTTCCCGTCCTGCACCTTCTCTCCGAGCTCGTCCTCGGTAACAGGTTGATCCATGCGTCTTCTCCTGACATCCGTTATTCCGGATCTTTCCGAGGAACGCTGACACGCCGTGAGTGATGATGATCCTCCAGACAGGAAACCAGCAGACACAAACCTGCCTCATTCTGCAAGATGGATGGAGGCCTGGACCAGGGACTAGTTATAGAGAGACGGTCTGAGCCTCGCGTTTGAATGCAACTTTTAGTCAGGTAGGTGGGTAATTAGATTCAACGGGGAAAGAAAAAAACACAACATTTCCTCAATGGTGGTTTAAAGGAAGCTTATAACCCCCTAGTTGTTCTAACTCTTGTTTTGTTTGTCATTAATTCTTTGCATAATAAGATCATTATAATATATCTGACACTACATAGACATAATTTTGTCACTTTTAGTAAAAAAGTCTGAATAAAAACTTTCTGTATGTTTTCATTTTTTCCATTTAATCATCTGTCTCCTCATTTTTTAGGGTAAAATACATCATTGTTGCATTACTAACCTTCAATCTTTAATTTCCTACCTCACAAGTGTTTTAGTAGAACTGGCTGCAACAAGTTTATTCATCCTGAAAAGTACCAGCATGAAAAGAACATCAAATCACTTATATTTACTGTGGAAGTAATCGGCACCATTTTCATTTTTATTCATAGTTTCTGATCATTTTTGCAGACACCTGACATGTTCACATACACACCATCTTCCTGTGAATAATGTTTTTTAAAAGCTAGAGCGCTTTCTTATGCATAACTTCATTTACATTTCACATTTATCTTAAGATGCAAATTGCGGTTGATGAAATCCGTCATTCTTGACAGACGACATGAATTTCTCTCGGCGCCCCAGAAGCGTCGTCCTTGGTTTCTTCTAACGTCTCCGTCAAGTTTGAAGACAAGTCAATCAAAATGTAGAGCGCATGTTTACACAGTATCTGTATTAGAACTCAACATAGAAAAGAATAGACTTGCTATGAAAGAAACATTTCTTGAATTATTTCCATGGCAGACGTTTGCAGCAGGTTGCTCATCAGTGCATTAAACCTCGTCTCCCCTCATTTAATTGCTATAAAGTGACAATGAAAATGTCTTTTATTTAGTCATGGTCATTTCTCTGAGACATGGTGCTGCGAGCTGCTTCACCGTTATGCAAATAAACCAATTTGTCTTCATGCAGATACCCATAAATCTGCACATTTCTGTGTTTGAGTGTTGATCTGTGTGTTTGAAAGATTGGTTGTTGGTTCGATTCCCGGCACCTCAAAGTGCTGAATGTCTTGTCCTTGATCCAGCATTGCTCCTGATGGCAAGCAAGCGCCTTACATCACGTCTCTGCTGCTGCTGGTGTGCGTGAATCCAAAGGAAATTTGAATTTGTTTCGTTTCTTTGCTCAATTTTGTAAACTCTTCACTTCCACGATGGGTGCGTTGAGATGACGTGTTAGGAATGGGCAC